GTTGTTACTCGAGTACGCCGATGTATTCTCATCAAACGATGCTGACATAGGAAAGACTGGTTTAGTTCAACACAAAATAAACACAGGTGAAGAGTTGCCTATCCGTCAGCGGCCAAGACGATTGCCGGTAGCACGTGAAAAGGAAGTGGAAACCATGATTGAGGGAATGGTGAGGGATGGTGTTATTGAACCTTCATCTAGTCCATGGTGTTCACCTGTGGTACTGGTAAAGAAGAAGGATGGCAGCATGCGGTTCTGTGTTGATTACCGCCGTCTGAACGACGTTACAAAGAAGGACAGCTATCCCTTGCCAAGAATTGATGACACGCTGGACATGCTTACAGGAGTAAAATGGTTTAGCACGCTGGATCTAAAAAGTGGCTACTGGCAAGTTGAAATTGACCCTAAGGACAAGGAGAAAACTGCGTTCTCGACGGGAAAGGGTCTGTGGCAATTCAAAGTAATGCCGTTTGGGTTGTGCAATGCTCCAGCAACGTTTGAAAGGCTGATGGAACTTGTACTTACCGGGCTAATTGGCGATGCCTGTCTGGTCTACTTGGATGACATCATCATCGTGGGCCGTACGTTTGAGGAACACCTTCAAAACCTGGAACGCGTGCTCATGAAGATTAAGAGTGCCAACCTTAAGTTGAGTCCGAAGAAATGTTCACTATTCAAACGGCAAGTCAACTTTTTGGGGTATGTAGTGTCGGAAGAAGGTATCCGCACGGATCCAGAGAAAATCGCAGCTGTAAAGGATTGGCCGGTTCCAAAAGACAAGACGCAGGTTAGAGCATTTTTGGGTTTGTGCTCCTATTACCGACGTTTTGTGAAGAACTTTGCAGATATAGCCAAACCTCTGCATAAGCTAACCGAGGAGAAGCGACATTTCTGCTGGGATGAAAGTTGTAACATCGCATTCCAGGAGCTCAAGGACCGTCTGTGCAAAACACCTATTTTGGGATACCCTGATGCAAGCAAAGAATTTATAGTTGACACAGACGCAAGTGATATAGGACTTGGCGGTGTGTTGTCTCAACGTAATGGTGACCAAGAGGTCGTGATAGCGTACTTCAGCAAGTCGTTGTCAAAACCGGAAAGGAACTACTGTGTCACAAGACGCGAATTGCTAGCTGTGGTAAAGTCGTTGCAACATTTTAGCAAATATCTTCTGGGACGAAAATTTCACTTACGAACTGACCATGCTGCACTAAAGTGGCTATTGCAGTTTAAAAACCCAGAAGGACAAGTTGCGAGGTGGATTGAACTACTGCAGGAATACGACTTTCAGATCGAACATCGCAGCGGGAAATCTCATGGCAACGCAGATGCATTGTCAAGAAGACCTTGTCCTGAAGATTGCAAACATTGTACTAGGCAAGAGAGTAAGGAAGTGGTATCCGTGAGGATGCTCAGGGCAGACCACCTCAGCAACGAGTGGAAGGACAGCTTACTACATGCACAGCAGGAAGATCCGGACATCAAGCCGATTCTGGAATGGATAAAGGCCAGTGCTCCCAAGCCCAAGTGGAGTGACGTCTCAGCGATGAGTTCGACCACTAAAAGCTATTGGGCCCAGTGGGACAGCTTGCTGCTTCAGGATGGAGTTCTGTGTCGTAAATGGGAAAACGTTCGGGGAGACAGCTGTCATTTGCAAATGGTTGTCCCTAAAGTTAAAGTACCGGATGTTCTACAGCTGTACCATAATGATTATTCAGGAGGCCATCTGGGAGTTAAACGAACTCTACTGAAGATCCGAGAACGGTTTTACTGGGTCCACTGTCGAAACGATGTCGAGGACTGGTGTCGCAAATGTACAAGTTGTGCGGCTGTAAAGGGACCTCAGACTCGTAGTAGAGGTGCATTGAAGTTGTACAATGTTGGTGCACCATGGGAGAGAATAGCCATTGACGTGGCGGGGCCGTTTCCGGAGAGTGAAAGCGGTAACAAGTATTTCATGGTTGTGATGGATTACTTCACTAAGTGGCCAGAAGTCTTCGCCATTCCAAATCAAGAAGCTTCAACAGTTGCAGATAAACTAGTTCATGAAGTCTTCTGTCGTTTTGGAGTACCTTTAGAGATTCACAGCGATCAAGGAAGGAATTTTGAGTCTCAAATATTCCAGGAAACTTGCCGAGTTATGGGTACTCATAAAACAAGAACGACTTCTTATCACCCGCAATCTGATGGAATGGTGGAACGATTTAATCAGACATTGGAGAGGTACCTAGCAAAAGTTGTAGACAATCGGCAACGAGATTGGGACAAGCACATACAACCGTTTTTGTTGTCATATCGAAGTTCTGTTCACGAAAGTACAGCAGTGACACCAGCTTTCGCAAACTTTGGAAGAGAATTACGGCTGCCTGCAGACCTGATCACCGGGATACCACCCGATGCTCCACGCAGTATAACCGATTATGCAAATGACTTGCGGAAAAGAATGAATGACGTTTATGAGCACGTCAGACAAACGGGCCAGCAAATGTCTGAAAAGATGAAAACCCGGTATGACCGCAAAATGAACAACAAAGGGTTCGACGAAGGTTCACTTGTGTGGTTGCACAATCCAGTCCGCAGCAAAGGGAAATCTCCTAAGCTTCAAGCTAAATGGGACGGCCCGTACCGGATTGTAACCAGGATCAACGATGTGACCTACCGGATACAGAAAGGCGCAAGAGGGACTCCTAAGATCGTCCATGTGGATCGCTTGGCGCGTTATTATGGGACCGATAATGCTCGGGACGAGCATGTCTTAGGAGGGGGCAGTGTTGCATGAATAAGTCAACTAGCGCCATCTAGTGTCAGGAACGAGAGCGAGGGGAGCATTGAGAAAATGACATCACAAATCGCTCAACTGACAGCGCCTAGTCGAAACTCGAAAGCTCGGTACCTTCCGCGTGTTTACTTGAACATTCTGGATATTTCTTTGCTAATTTAAATATATAGGCGCTGCAAGATGCGATGGAGGCAGTGTTGATTTGGGCGAACAAGCGAAGCTTCGGAGTGGAATTAAGTGAATTAGTGTGTTTAAATTATTAGTGTTTTAACTTTAATTGTGTAAAGTAAATTAAAGTGTTAATTTAGGTAATTTTATCGGCAATTTTTATTGTCACGAACCTCAAGCTCGTAACAATACGTTTCGCGCCAACGTAAATCGTACCGTTATCAGAGTACTTTTTATTTACAGGGCTAAGGCGGGAAACGTGTGCGGTCATATGAATAGCCTCGTCTGCAACTCTAAGTTGATGGAAACCGGAAATCATATCCAGAGAGCTAAACCAGCGAGCATTACCTAACCTATCTACATAGGTAGTCGTTGATCAAGGTAAGATGATATCGAGTTTTGACGGTTATTCGATTCAATGCACGATAGTCCACGACCATTCTATCAGAACCATCCTTTTTACTAGCAAAATCGGACTAGCGTATTCTGAATCGGAATCGCTATTATTTCCTTAATCGAGCAAATACTTCACTATAGTGCGTACTTTTAATTTTTCGTCATGCGATCATTTGTATGATCTATAGCACACGGGCACATCGGTTGTTTACTTGATATGCATCCCACTATCTTTCACCGTTGTGTTCGCGGTACCACTTAAAAGGAGTTCGGAATACTTGGTGAGGATGTCTAGTAATCGTTCCCTATTATTTCTAGATACCGACATATTACCTTGATCGGACAAAAAAAATCAAATCTGCTTGCAGAATATCGTTTACGGTCGCGTCACTATGAATTATACGTTGGCGATCACCGGTCCTAACATAAGTTATAACAAAGACCTTTCCTGTTTAGTATATCTGTACCGATAATGACAGGTACATTCAAATTATTGCCACCCACCACAAAAAACTATTTCTATTGTTATATCGCTAAACTCAACGGGTAATGTTACAAATGATTCCGATCTTATTTCCACACTACCCAAGTCGCGTAATAACTGATTAGTAGACTTTACTTGACACGAGAAATGTTTGACAACATTTTTTATATTAAGGAAACATATGAATCACTATCGATTAATACTTTTAACGGTATTCCCGATATACAGCAGTCGTCACATCCGTTATTTCGCGACGAAAATTGACATCATTATTATTTCGTGAATTTGCGCGTTCCTTAGCAAATAAGTTACCTCGGAATGACCTATTTTTTTGCAAAACGCATACTTTAACGGATCGCTAAGAGACCTACCTTTTTGCAAACGCACACTTTAAGGGATCGTCTGTAACGCGATTGCTTTTTCGTTACTATAACTCTGGAGCTTATTCGATTGTTTGTTACAATTAACACTCTTATGACCTAATTGATTACATTCATAACACCTTATTGATTTTGAGTCTTTGGGATCATATTGACGTTTTAACGGTTTGCGGTTTGAGATATTATTATTCGAGAGTTGGTCAAATCGATTGAAACCATTAGAATACACTTTCTTATTATGGTTGTTGTAGGTACACAGTATCTATAATATACTAGCACTTTAGATTGCGTGTCTGGTGACCTACATATTGCCCATACTTATTTAACAGCTATACCTATGTATGTGTAATGCATGTGTATGTGGATAATAGTTATAGGTGTGGCGGCTGCGTCCGCCACGCAGAGTCGCAAATATATCACCGTTTACTCGACACGTGTCTTCATTTATTGCAACCATCATTGTACACCTTAATGGACTTAAGTAAATTAATTAATTAATTAAATAAAGTACCATAAAATAGTACACTGGTGACCCCGACGTGATGGCTGACCCATAAAACAGTACACTGGTGACCCCGACATGATTGGAGGTTGAAGAGGTGTCTCTTTCCCAAGAAGGAGGGTTGTTGGAGCCGTTGGGTTGAAGAGGAGATATGTTCAGATGAGGAAAGGATGCGTTGATCAGTGTTATGCTACCATTGGACACGGAAGCTACTCCTCCTTTATACCCCACATATCGGGGGAGACAAGGTACCACAGGGCTCTTGTCTAAGATCTTTTCTGTAACTGGCTGCTAGTATCCAGTGTGATTTGCTGAGGGATCATCTGATATCCAGTAACTGATCTTCGGGTGGAGGTGGCATAGTGGGGAGGACACAAACTCCCACCTGTTTACTATGTTGCATCCCCATACCATCAAGATAGGCCCGTCTGCCTCAGCAACTACGTTGTCCTTGGATAGGAGTTGTCGGGCAAGTGTTGTAGGAGCTGACTCGGAAGACATCCAAAACAGCGTCTTCAGTTGGGTAATTATGTGGCACAGCATCTTGGTGTCTTTGGCTAGGCGCAGTGTCTCCTCCTCCAGGTACATTATCTTCTGAATGTCTTCTGCAGTGTCTCTCTTGTGTCTCCTATAGAGGTGAGTGGTCGACTTTTTTCATTTAAATAGTATTGTCACTCAAAAAAACACTAAGTATATCTAAAGGTTTACTATAAAAGTTCACCAAATTGATATAGTCCCTGACTTCCGAACTTTAATACGTCTATGTCCGATTTACCCGGAGCTCTGAATCTAGCTGCTCATCAAAAGTGAAAATAAAATTAACATGGAAAGAAACAGTAAAATTGCCGACTAAAGTCGTATGAAGGAATAGTACCGTGATTTTTAAATGAATGCTTATTAAAATTTTACTACCTTGTAAAAAGTTATATAAAACGGTACTTAAGTTGGTCTCGGAGATTTTTTTTCAGACAGAATTGCGCAACTGAGATCTTCTTTTTAAAATCTCTACCTTTTTGAAGGGTGTCATTTCATCGTATGTTTCATTATATAGGTAGGAACCATATTCATCTACGCGCATTCATTTAATACCATCTCTAAAACTTACTTTGTCATTGTTTACATCTTTTTTTCTGTTTATTTCATTTAAATTAAGTTTTTCTGTAATTCACCAATTTTTCTGAAATGTGCTTTCATGTCGATGACTGTGTTATACGAGAAGCTTTGCATATAATACTCTTGTAATGTTCAGAAATATAAACTGTATCGTGTATCCTAAGGACTTTTTCTATCCTACCAAAATCATGATCCGAATCTAAATGAGAATGGCCAACCTCATGCAACTTGTGGACTATTACTTTAAAATATCCTTTTAATATAAGGTATTGATACAGCGCAATCAAGTTAAAGTTTTTGTCTGTCCGGCACATGAATCCGACCAGATTAATAAATGATCTTTGTTTTGACAAATTGTGTCTTTTTATAGCTTTACAAATTGCTGCTCTTTTTTTAAAATAGCTCACTTTGTCATATAAACTTTCTATATTTAATATTATATCTATTATTCGTGCTCAGTGCTTGTAACTTGTTACAAATTACGAAGCACATGATTGCGGCATTCGATTTTTTCGACGGGTTTATCGGGATACGGGCGAGCTTCTAAAATTTTTGCATATGTACTGGAGTCACCATCAGAAAAAAGTTTACCGTAAATTGGGGAATACATGTTTACGGATTCTTTGAAGCCTTCTACTATAATCTCACTTTCCATATTTGAGAATGGGCCCTCATAATTTTTAAAACAATGATGAATTGCTGGTTCCTTATTTGGTTCCGCGTGAACATAAATGTAGAAATATTTATTTTTTACACTCCAATACCTGCTCCCGATAGAGCATTATAATTTTTTTATAGTTATGTTTGTTCCAGCAGCCATCTGCAATTACTTCAATAAGAGCTAAGCCATCTCTATTTACTTTGTTACTGGCAAGTGCGAATTCTCTTACCCTTTCTTCAGCATGCTTCATCTACTCTATAGATAAACTTTCCCATTTTTCACTAATTAATTCGTGGTTTGTCGAACATATATATTCGAACAAAGAAGGAAGACTCATTGATGACAATAGCTCGTTTAGTTGCGAATTTTCCGCGCCTATTGCAATCGTACCTGCGACTGCGCATTTATTTAATGATAAATAATTTTCACTACAATTACCATTTTCTATTACAAATTTTTGGTTGCATAATTGGCATTTAAACGTAAATTTCGACTCTAAGACCCGATTCCACCAAACTATTCTTAATTAGCCATTAACAAATGTTCTGTTAAAATTGACGTCGACGTCAAAAAGGTTTACGTTCTATAGAGGCATCATAACAAGGCGTTGCTAAATCAAACATCAAGTAGATATTATCTATGATCGAGTGAACAAAAACGACAAGTTTGACTTGTCATTCTCTCGCACTTCACTCTCGTTATTATGCAGGCAAATCAAAATGTCATGGTGCCCATACAAAATGTTCTGTAGACAGTGTAATTCTATGTTGGTCGTCTAAAACGTCATATGTTTTCGGTTTCGCGCTTATAGATTTTCACAGAGTACATTATATATACCTGGATTTTGTTCTGTGGTGATTTATAATTCTTTCAATTAGTAAGCTTTACTTAAGTTGTGTTGTAATATGTCGAAAAAAGTCGCGGCCCTAATTTCTGCGCCAGTGAAAAAAGAATTTTAATAGAACTTATCCTAAAAATATAGATGTCGTAGAAAACAAAAAAACAGATGCTGTGACGATTGCTCATAAAAATGAGGGTTGGAAGGTGCTCACGGAAGAATTCAATTCCCTGAGCAGTTTCAATTTCCGAAATACGGACCAACTTAGAACGTGTTGGGATAACCTCAAAAGAACGACAAGGAAAGACAAAGCTGCCACAAAGAAGGAGATTTTCTTAACAGGTATGATCTATTTGTAACTTAATAACACGTTATACTTTCAAAAATTCTAGCGCAGTAATAATTTATTACCTTTATTTCGAATACCTAACTATTCTTGACTGTAAACTCTCACCAAAATTCATTCTGTGGTTTCCTCCTAGTCTGCGAACAGAAATGATTGTAGTGATGCCTAGTGACTACTTACGCTCCTTTTTAGTGTTTACACTGTTTCATACTCTATACTTTGCTATTTCTAGGTGGAGGCAGGCCCAATCATCTACCACCAGGGCCTTTACAAGAGCAAGTAGAAATATTACTTGGCCCAACATTGGATGGTCTTGCAAACGAATTTGATAGCGATGGTCAATTTCAAGAGTCTGTCACAGCATTTAATAAAAGAAGGAAGATTCAGCAGAAATATTACCGACCATTGTATTATTGGATGCAGTACCTGGCTGTTCAACTGTTGTAATTATAAACGTACTAGCCAGTTTTCTATGGCCTTTAATTAACGTATAATAGTGTATATTTTAACACAGAACATGTGCTTAAAATCCATGTAAATGTTCTATAATAAATTACAAATATTATTTACATAAAAAAAAAAAAAAAAAAAAATGTAAATGTTCTATAACACTTATTATAGCACATTTTCATGGATGAGTTTAACTACCAATTTAATTATAACAACTGAAACAAATTTAAAGTAGATTTTCAGATTAGCCCAAACAGACTTGGTTTTATGATATATAAAAATGTATTTTAGTACGCATAGTTTTTATTTCTAATATATATATATATATATATATATATATATATATATATATATATATATATATATATATATATATATTATTTTCAGATTGAGCAAGTTGGTTCCTCGGGACTGAATAGCTCTCAGGCTGAATCAGGGGAGTTAAATAAGGAAACATTTGATGGCTCAAGTCGTCGTGAAGTTCAGGTACCTATCTCATTACAAATATTCATCACTTTTTCACCGCACCCATGGAAGATAGCCTAGACTACAGATATCATGGATGGATGATGGGATATATTAATAAACCTACTTTATGTTTTAGGATAAGGATAATATTTGGCATGGTTGGTCTCCAGCTGCACTTAAAACCAAAATGTCAGTTGCACTAATTACAAAAAAAAGGGGAGCCCAACATGGCTTCACAGGAGAAGACCAAGGGCTTCAATAGCCGACAGTTGACTGACTAGCAAGTTAGAATTAGTCGAAATTTTGAAAAAAAATGCACAAATTGAGGCTGAGAAAAAAAATTTATTGCTCTCAAAAAAAAAAACAAAAGAAATACTTCATTATCACAAGTGTGCCCTTGTTCTATTAAATCTTCCCAAGGAGCCGGTAGTTTTATTTCCGGATCATCAGATGGCAAATCTTCATTTGCTTTTATTAAGATGTTGTGCAACACAGCCGTAGCAACAATTATATATAGGAAGGCAATTTTTTAACTGTACTTGTATACCTAATGCAAGTACTGGGAATCGACGTTTCCATACTCCAAACAGGCGTTCAATGGGGTTCCTGCTTCTTATTTGAGATTCATTGTACAATCTCTCCTCTGGGGTTATTGGATTCTGCAGTGGCATCATAATGTATGGTCGGTTCATATAGCCACTGTCTGCTAAGAGAAAGGCATCACGGTATCGACCACTTTCAAATATAGTGCTTCTGTAGGATCCGTTCCAAATAGTTTGATCTTGGCTACTTTCTGGCCATCTCGCCACCAAATCTAAAATTTCTAAGTTAGCATTTCCTATTGCTTGCACATTTATAGACATGTATCCTTTCCTATTCCTAAAATGTTCTCCATTTTCCCCACCAGGAGAACGAATGCGTATATATGTACAATCAAGAGCACCTAGTGCCGTGCTTTCCTAAAGCGTGCTATGTTATAAAATTGTAATTGTGCTTTTTTTAATTCTTCTTCTGAGACGGGAAATTTTATAAACTGGCGACTAAGTGACGTTATAGCCGCAGTAACTCTATGTATAATTCTGTGAGAAGTGGACTTGCTCATTCCACAGTAATCACCCATAGTTATTTGTTGTGAACCAGTAGCATAATATCTCAAAGTTAAAAGAAGTTGGTTTATTGGCGAAATCGACTTGTTTCTGTAAGCAAACAAAATTTTAGGTTAGCTTTATCCATGCCCATCATACAAATTTTTCTTCTTTTAGAAGGTTTGTGTAAAATTGACGGTGGAGATGATGGAGTGATCTTATTATTAGGGGGAAACAATGTGTGAGCTTTTAAACTATATTATAATTAGCATCCCAACATTTTAATACCTAATAATAAACACCTTAAATAAGAAGTTGTTCTAGACAACAAAACAAGCATATTTTTAATAGGTACAATTCACGAAATAAGGTAATGTTAAAGTAGGTACTCACCGATTTGATGGATATTCAAGTTTATCTTCAATCATATGCAAAACATCCATACAAGATCCTTTCGTCAAACGAAACCTTGTCGTAAAATCTACATCGTCATATTCTTCAAAATAATCACGTCGCTCTTTATATGTTTTAGGACGTCGAACAATATTATCTAAACGTTCTAAATTTTCTAAAATATCATCATTTTCGTGTTCAAAAGTAAAATTATACGCTGCTTCCATTTTATTTGACCAACTGACAACCAATTTGACAGCCGTTAAAGACATTAACGGACCTTTGGAGCAGTGATTAAGTTTAACGCCTTGTTAAGAGAATTAACCATTCGTTAGTACGTGGTGAAACACTCACTACGCCTAACGGGCTGTTATCTATTTAATTGGACGTTAAAACTAACAAACAGCGTATGGTGAAACTAGCTCTAAGGCTCTAAGGCTAAGCTGAGAAGCTAAGCTCTATTGTGTTCCTCCGATAAGTTGTAGTTCAGTGAAGCTGCAACCCAATGGATCATGATTTGAAAATTTTATTAATTCCGAAAATAATTGGCTGACGGAAATTTTTCTTCTTCATATTGTTATGCCCCCCCCCTAATTATTTCTTTATAATTAATTTCCCCTTTTTTAAATAAAATTATACATGAGTGACCAGAATAAGTAAAATATGTTTTGATCTTTCTAAATGATCTTTCTAAAGGTTTTGTAATAGGCCGTTTGTAATATTTATGGCGTGATAGTATTTGTTAGGAGCCTTATTTACGTTGGGTTTGTTTAGTAACGTAGTTCTTTTAGGTGTCTTTTGGAAGAATGCATATTACTAGAGTAATTGAAAGCTTTTGGTAGTGCCTTATAAGTTAAGTGAATCCCGTTCACGAAGACAGGGCTCGTGAAAGGTTAATAACATAAAACGTCCCTATTCCACTTGTATCAGGTTTACATTATTTATTTATTATTATTCATCCCTTCCCGCGTGGAAAGGGCACACAATATGTATTTATACATAGAATACTCGATACAAGGGTTTCACTCTCCCAAATTAAAAAAAATCCCTTTTTTAAATTAAAAAAAACCCACATTTCTGTTGGCGCTTATCACACACGCTGTGCGTAGTGAGTGCCAACCATTTTAATGCGCTCCCCCAAAGGGAACGCTAAATCGGGAACTGGACCGTAGTCCACAGCAAAATACCTGGCGAAACGGTAAAAGAGGGCTTGGCCCCTTGGTGGAGCGTAAGCACAAATATCGACCGAAGTCGCGCATGTTAATGCGTGTAAACGCCATACATAATACGGTGTAGGCAAATAGGCACACTTATGGCACAAATATATCACCGTTTACTCGACATGTGTCTTCATTTATTGCAACCTTCATTGTACACCTTAATGGACTTAAGTAAATTAAATAATTAATTAAATACAGTACCATAAAATAGTACACTGGTGACTCCGACGTGATGGCTGACCCATAAAAGAGTACACTGGTGACCCCGACGTGATTGGAGGTTGAAGAGGTGTCTCTTTCCCAAGAAGGAGGGTTGTTGGAGCCGTTGGGTTGAAGAGGAGATATGCTCAGATGGGGGAAGGATGCGTTGATCAGTGTTATGCTACCATTGGACACGGAAGCTACTCCTCCTTTATACCCCACATATCGGGGGAGACAAGGTACCACAGGGCTCTTGTCTAAGATCTCTTCTGTAACTGGCTCCTAGTATCCAGTGTGATTTCCTGAGGGGTCCTCTGATATCCAGTAACTGATCTTCGGGTGGAGGTGGCATAGTGGGGAGGACACAAACTCCCACCTGTCTACTATGTTGCATCCCCACACCATCAACATAGGCCCGTCTGCCTCAGCAACCACGTTGTCCTTGGATAGGAGTTGTCGGGCAAGTGTTGTAGGAGCTGACTCGGAAGACATCCAAAACAGCGTCTTCAGTTGGGTAATTATGTGGCACAGCATCTTGGTATCTTTGGCTAGGCGCAGTGTCTCCTCCTCCAGGTACATTATCTTCTGAATGTCTTCTGCAGTGTCTCTCTTGTGTCTCCTATAGAGGTGAGTGGTCGACTTTTTCCATTTAAATAGTATTGTCACTCAAAAAAACACTAAGTATACCTAAAGGTTTACTATAAAAGTTCACCAAATTGATATAGTCCCTGACTTCCGAACTTTAATACGTCTATGTCCGATTTACCCGGAGCTCTGAATCTAGCTGCTCATCAAAAATGAAAATAAAATTAACATGGAAAAAAACAGTAAAATTGCCGACTAACGTCATATGAAGGAATAGTACCGTGATTTTTAAATGAATGCTTATTAAAATTTTACTGCCTTTTAAAAAGTTATATAAAACAGTACTTAAGTTGGTCTCGGAGATTTTTTTTTCAGACAGAATTGCGCAACTGAGATCTTCTTTTTAAAATCTCTACCTTTATGAAGGGTGTCATTTCATCGTATGTTTCATTATATAGGTAGGAACCATATTCATCTACGCGCATTCATTTAATACCATCTCTAAAACTTACTTTGTCATTGTTTACATCTTTTTTTCTGTTTTTTTTCATTTAAATTAAGTTTTTCCTGTAATTCACCAATTTTTCTGAAATGTGCTTTCATGTCGATGACTGCGTTATACGAGAAGTTTTGCATATAATACTCTTGTATTGTTCAGAAATATAAACTGTATGATGACACGGAAGCTACTCCTCCTTTATACCCCACATATCGGGGGCGACAAGGTACCACAGGGCTCTTGTCTAAGATCTCTTCTGTAACTGGCTCCTAGTATCCAGTGTGATTTGCTGAGGGGTCCTCTGATATCCAGTATACTGTCACTGTTACTGATCTTCGGGTGGAGGTGACATAGTGGGGAGGACACACTCCCACCTGTTTACTATGTTGCATCCCCACACCATCAAGATAGGCCCGTCTGCCTCAGCAACCACATTGTCCTTGGATAGGAGTTGTCGGGCAAGTGTTGTAGGAGCTGACTCGGAAGACATCCAAAACAGCGTCTTCAGTTGGGTCATTATGTGGCACAACATCTTGGTGTCTTTGTCTAGGCGCAGTGTCTCCTCCTCCAGGTACATTATCTTCTGAATGTCTTCTGCAGTGTCTCTCGTGTGTCTCCTATAGAGGTGAGTGGTCGACTTTTTCCATTTTGAAAGTATTGTCTCTCCGGTGACACCGGTGAAGCCTGGACCCATCCGGCACTGGGAGCCACCAGCTCCGACACCTTGTACAGCGTCATAGAGGTAGGATCAATGCAGTAGGAGGGGGTACATAGTGCATTGTCAACTATCTTAGATGATCTACTTCTGTCCTCAAGCTGGTGGAAGGAGGATGTGTGTATGAAAAGAAGTCCTGAGTCTGTCTTGCAGGTGTAGTCGAGGCAGCTGGGTCTGGCCCTTCTACAAAAAAGCCTCCCGGACTATTCTCCATCATACCTGAGGAGATTTTGCACACCTTCTTGTTGACGGAGACAGATGTTGGCCATGCCCACTCACACAGCTTCAATAGGTCCTGGAGGTTTGTGTATTGGATGTAGCCTTCTGGGCAGACTGGATCAGGCATATCTCTAAGATCTGCGTTGTCTGGCATGAAATTGTGAGTCATGCTATAGGACCCCCATACGAAATAGTGAGTGGTGCATTCGAACTCTTGAAGCAGTATTATCCACCCTTTCACTCTAAAAGAGGTGACTTGATCAGTTGTGATTTTGAGTTTAGCTGGAGCACCGCCAGTTTCATCACAGTGTCTGGGTTCATCTAGCCAAAAGAATGCGGGTTCTCTCGTTCTGTCGCAAAGAAGAGCGGTTTGACATGATCCCACCCAAGCCAGGCCCATCAGTAGGCAGAGCATCATTGTATCCTGGGTGTTTTTTGGTAAAGTTTTTGGTCGTTCTATAATTGATGTCATCATCGCCATCATCTTATTCTGGTTCTCCGTAACCTCTAATAACGTAGAGTAGACTATGGAAATGTCGAGACCTCGACTGCTCTCTCCTGGCGGAGCTGGTGGAGAGGGGTCGGGTGATGGCGGAGGTGGTTTGTCTCTCGTCTCCTCTTTTTCTTCTTCGAGACTTTCTCGCTGATTGTTTTTTCTCTTCCTTTTTGGGACTTCGCTTTCTTCGGAGCGGAGGAGCCCTCTTCAGAATATTTTCTCGTCCGCCCCCTGAGGTCTCCACTTCTGCTGCTTCCGTTATATTCACCGTGACCCCCTGGTGAATTACTTCGGGGCTGTTCACGCCCTTTAGTTTATCAATGGCGGCCCCGAAGTAATCATCCAGTTCAATTGTAAATTAGCTCATTTTTCATGTGGTTGGGTCTAGAAGGTTAAACAAAGCTCGATAAAAACTTTACTAGAATCAGGTGATAATTTGGCGTTAATAGACATAGCACGAATTAGTGGCTAGAATGTGACTAGAACGTGAATTAGAAACTTCTATACGAAGCATTTATTCGTAGCAAAAACTGGGGCGAAGTCGCTGACACGATGACTCCGTCGCGTCGTGGGAAATAGCAAGAATAGAAGATGTAGAAAGTTCTTCAAATATATTTTTTGTTGGTGAGTTAGACCCAGACGGTGAACGGGCCAGCACCAATTTGTTAGGAGTCCGATCCCGTTTGACCTAAAAAAACACTAAGTATACCTAAAGGTTTATTATAAAAGTTCATACACCAAAATGATATAGTCCCTGACTTCCGTACTCTAATACGTCTCGAAATCTATGTCCGATTTACCCGGAGCTCTGAATCTAGCTGCTCATCAAAAATGAAAATAAAATTAACATGGAAAGAAACGGTACAATTGCCGACTAAAGTCATATGAAGGAAAAGTACCGTGATTTTAAATGAATGCTTATTAAAATTTTACTGCCTTGTAAAAAGTTATATAACAGTACTTAAGTTGGTCTCGGAGATTTTTTTTTCACTGATATGGTACCATATTTTTCGAATATCGACAGAATTGCGCAACTGAGATCTTCTTTTTAAAATCTCTACCTTTTTGAAGGGTGTCATTTCATCGTATGTTTCATTATATAGGTAGGAACCATATTCATCTACGCGCATTCATTTAATACCATCCCTAAAACTTTCTTTGTCATTGTTTACATCTTTTTTTCTGTTTATTTCATTTAAATTAAGTTTTTCCTGTAATTCACCACATTTGTATTGTTCAGAAATATAAACTGTATCGTGTTTCCTAAGGACGTTTTCTATTCTACCAAAATCATGATCCGAATCTACATGAGAATGGCCAACCTCATGCAACTTGTGGACTATTACTTTAAAATATCCTTTTAATATAAGGTATTGATACAGTGCAATCAAGTTAAAGTTTTTGTCTGTCGGGCACATGAATCCGACCAGATTAATAAATGATCTTTGTTTTGACAACTTGGATCGCCTTCCAAAAATCTTAGAAGTGCGCATTAAACTTCAATACTTCTGCGATCCGCTACGGCTTCAGTCCACATACTACAAACGGCTTTCTCCTTACCTCCATAATTAACGTGAATACCTAGATTGTGAAACCACAATTGACGTTAGTTAAATGTTTTTGAAGTTGTCAGTTTCGGTAACGGTATTATTTGTTGTAAATCCATTGTAATGTACACAATATCTCGGCCCTGGTTTGATTTTTGCCTGTCAATTTGCATAGCTTCAACAGCTGCATGATAATTTAACATGAGTCTCCAGCATCGCAAGTGGCACACGTGTCACTCCTTGGGTAACCAAAAGACAAATTAAATTCTGTGACAAAAATTTTGGTGTACGAGCTTTTCTTAATGCGATATTTATCTGACAAGTCCTCATTTTGACACATTTCCAAATACAAACCATGCATCTTGGTAACATTGAGCAGCGTTATAAGATAGAGTTTGTACATATTTTTATTTCTTAAGCAATGAGACTCTTCCGCTGGAAAGCTCGAAATATGTGCCCTAATGCATTGGACAACATCATTGTCCATTTTGTGTGGACGACTTTGATATCGTCCTCTCCGATCTGGTTTATGAACTGAAAGTCCATCTTTAGTATTCTTTATAATGAGATCAATTTTTTTGTGACCCATCTGGTATATAATATTCTACACAAATCTAACTTGCATATTTTTTGTGTGATTTTTTTACGTAATGCTTTTAACAAGCAGATTTATGCTTTCTATTTCTAGCGTTACTGCGTTGTCTTGCTATAGGCTTCCTTACAATGCTGCTGAACAATAAGGCATTTTTACGATAAGAATCAAATGAATAATAGTTGCTTTATTTGTCAGAATATGGTACATTACTGTTGTTACAAAAGAATTTTGATCCTAAATATTCTGCCGTTTCCGGCGTACAAATATTTTCAGATAGATAATTTTTCTAATAAAGTAGAAAACTAAGACACTAATTATTATATAGTATAAAGATACTTGCCGCAATATTTATGGAAACCAAATTTACTATTAGAATCAAATGAATAATAGCTGTTTAAAATAGATTGCCTATCTTCAAGTGAGAACTTACTAAAGCATTTAAGTCTGCACTTCTTGTGGCATAAAATCCTTTCCTGGATGGTTTTCTTTGGAACTGTCACTCCTTGATAAGAAATATATTCTTCTCCCTTTGCTCTAGCAGCAGACTTTTCTTCCCCGACAGTTTATTTGGGAGTGTTTTTTGACTTATTTTCTTTGGATGGGAATATCTTACGTTTTCTTGAATTATTATTTTCTTACAAATCTTAACTTTCGTGATGGTTCCTAGTAGGGATAAGGTCATTTGTTCCAATTTTATCGCAAAAAATATGCACGACATTTAGCATGGCCACCAAAGCCATGAAGGTGTCTAATCATAATATCTTCAAATAAAAATTGTACATCTGAATTTATTTTGTGTCTTTTTATAGCTTTATAAATTGCTGCTCTTGTTTTTAAAATAGCTGACTTTGTCATATACATTTTCTATATTTAATATTATATCTATTATCCGTGCTCAGTGCTTGTAACTTGTTACAAATTACGAAGCACATGATTGTGGCATTCGATTTTTTCAACGGGTTTATCGGGGGAGCTTCTAAAATTTTTGCATATGTACTGGAGTCACCATCAGAAAAAAGTTTACCGTAAATTGGGGAATACATGTTTACGGATTCTTTGAAGCCTTCTACTATAATCTCACTTTCCATATTTGAGAATGGGCCGTCATAATTTTTAAAACAATGATGAACTGCTGGTTCCTTATTTGGTTCCGCGTGGACATAAATGTAGAAATATTTATTTTTTACACTTAAAAATAATATTTTTTCGGTCCAATATGGCTGCTGCTCCCGATAGAGCATTATAATTTTTTTTATAGCTTCGTTTGCTCCAGCAGCCATCTGCAATTATTTCAATAAGAGATAAGCCATCTCTATTTACTTTGTTACTGGCAAGTGCGAATTCTCTTTCCCTTTCTGCAGCATGCTTCATCTAAATCTAATCTAATTCCGAAAACAATTGGCTGACGTAAATTTTTCTTCTTCATATTGTAATGCAATAATTATTTCTTTGTAATTAATTTCCCCTTTTTTAAATAAAATTATATATATATATATATATATATATATATATATATATATATATATAAATAATATAAACATGTGACCAGGATAAGTAAAATATGTTTTGATCTTTCTAAATTATCTTTCTATAGGTCTAATAATAGGCCGTTTGTAATATTTATGGCGTGATCGTATTTCTTAGGACCCTTATTTACGTTGGGTTTATTTAGTAACTTGTTCTTTTAGGTGTCTTTTAGAAGAATGCATATTCACTAGAGCAATTGAAAGCTGATGGTAGAGCCTTATAAGTTAAGTGAATCCCGTTCACGAAGACAGGGCTCGAGAAAGGTTAATAACATAAAACGTCCCTATTCAACTTGTATCAGGTTTACATTATTTATTTATTATTATTCATCCCTTCCCGCGTGGCTTTCCACGCACACAATATGTATTTATACATAAAATACTCGATACAAGAGTTTCACTGTTTCACTGTCCCAAATTTAAAAAAATCCCTTTTTTTTTAAATAAAAAAAAACTCCCCCTCATTTTTGTTGGCGCTCAACACACACGCTGTGCGTAGTGAGTGCCAACCATTATAATGTGCTCCCCCGAAGGGAACGCTAAATCGGGAACTGGACCGTAGTTCACAGCAAAATAACTGGCGAAATGGTAAAACAGGGCTTGGCCCCTTGGTAGTGCGTAAGCACAAATATCGACCGAAGTCGCGCATGTCAATGCGTGTAAACGCCATACATAATACGGTGTAGGCAAATAGGCACACTGGCCGTAATCCCTCTATGAGCGCCACTGTCTGCTATACCGCCGCTCCTGCAGACGCGATATAAGTGTATGGCATCACCACCCATTGCATGATCGGCATGGCTACCAGTCGCAGAGCGTTTCATGAGTCTATCGCTCACCTCAAGGGATGAGGTTTCACGTTGTGCGGCTTTCGGCCGCAGCCTTGAGAGTCTCTGTTTGAGCATGGACTTGCTCGGGAAACGTGTGCGGTCTTATGAATAGCCTCGTCTGCAATTCTAAGTTGATGGAAACCGGAAATCATATCCAGAGAGCTAAACTAGCGAGCATTACCTAACCTATCTACATAGGTAGTCGTTGATCAAGGGAAGATGATATCGAGTTTTGACGGTTATTTGATTCCATGCACGATAGTCCACGACCATTCTATCAGAACCATCCTTTTTACTAGCAAAATCGGACTAGCGTATTCTGAATCGGAATCGCAAATATTTCCTTAATCGAGCAAATACTTCACTACAGTGCGTACTTTTAATTTTTCGTCATGCGATCATTTGTATGATCTATAGTACACAGGCACATCGGTTCTTAACTTGATATGCATCCCACTATCTTTCACCGCTGTGTTCGCAGTACCACTTAGAAGGAATTCGGAATACTTGGTGAGGATCTCTAGTAATCGTTCCCTATTATTTCTAGATACCGACATATTACCTTGATCGGACAACAAAAAATCAAATCTGCTTGCAGAATATCGTTTACGGTCGCATCACTATGAATTATACGTTGGTGATCACCGGTTCTAACATAAGTTATAACAAAGACCTTTCCTGTTTAGTACGTCTGTACCGATAATAACAGGTACATTCAAATTATTGCCACGCACCACAAAAAACTGTTTCTATTGTTTTACCGCTAAACTCAACAGGTAATGTTACAAATGATTCCGATCTTATTTCCACACCACCCAAGTCGCGTAATAACTGATTAGTAGACTTTACTTGACACGAGAAATGTTTGTCAACATTTTTTTATATTAAGGAAACATATGAATCACTATCGATTAATACCTTTAACGGTATTGCCTATATACCGCAGTCGTCACATCCGTGATTTCGCGACAAAAATTGACACCATTATTATTCCGTGAATTTGCGCGTTCCTTAGCAAACAAGTTACCTCGGAATGACCTATTTTTTTTTGCAAAACGCATACTTTAACGGATCGCTAAGAGACCTACCTTTTTGCAAACGCACACTTTAAGGGATCGTCTGTAACGCGATTGCTTTTTCGTTACTATAACTCTGGAGCTTATTCGATTGTTTGTTACAATTAACACTCTTATGACCAAATTGATTACATTCATAACACCTTATTGATTATGAGTCTTTGGGATCATATTGACGTTTTAACGGTTTGCGGTTTGAGATATTATTATTAGAGAGTTGGTCAAATCGATTGAAACCACTAGAATACACTCTCTTATTATGGCTGTTGTAGGGACACAGTATAGGTATCTATAATATACTAGCTCTTTAGATTGCGTGTTCGGTGACCTACATCATGTCCATACTTATTTAACAGCTATACCTATGTATGTGTAATGCATGTGTATGTGTATAATAGTTATAGGTGTGGCGGCTGCGTCCGCCACGCAGAGTCGCAAATATATCACCGTTTACTCGACACGTGTCTTCATTTATTGCAACCTTCATTGTACACCTTAATGGACTTAAGTAAATTAATTACTTAAATACAGTACCATAAAAACTAAAGTGTACAACCAGTGCGTGTTGCCAGTGATGACTTACAGATCAGAGACGTGGTCCTTCACTGCTGGCCGTATGAGGACGCTCAAGGTCGCTCAGCGAGCTATGGAGAGGGCTACGCTCGGAGTTTCTCTGCGTGATAGACTCAGAAATGAGAATATCCGCAGTAAAACCAGAGTAACCAACATAGCCCAACAGATTAGTAAGCTGAAGTGGCAATGGGCCGCCCATATAGCTCGAAGAACCGATAACCGATGGGGAAGAAAGGTTCTCGAGTGGCAGCCTCATACCTGTAGGCGTAGTGTAGGGCGACCCCCCACTAGATGGAGTGACGACCTGGTAAGACATGCAGGAAGTCGATGGATACAGGTGGCTCAGGACCGTGCTTTGTGGCATTACTTGGGGGAGGCCTATGTAAGCAGTGGACTTGTGAAGTGTTGTAATGATGATGATGATGATGAGTACCACAAAATAGTACACTGGTGACCCCGACGTGATAGCTAACCCATGAAACAGTACACTCGTGACCCCGACGTGATTGGAGGCTGAAGAGGTGTCTCTTTCCCAAGAAGGAGGGTTGTTGGAGCCGTTGGGTTGAAGAGGAGATATGCTCAGATGAGGGAAGGATGTGTTGATCAGTGTTATGCTACCATTGGACACGGAAGCTACTCCTCCTTTATACCCCACGTATCGGGGGCGACAAGGTACCACAGGGCTCTTGTCTAAGATCTCTTCTGTAACTGGCTCCTAGTATCCAGTGTGATTTGCTGAGGGGTCATCTGATATCCATTAACTGATCTTCGGGTGGAGGTGGTATAGTGGGGAGGACACAAACTCCCACCTGTCTCTATGTTGCATCCCCACACCATCAAAATAGGCCCGTCTGCCTCAGCAACCACGTTGTCCTTGGATAGGAGTTGTCGGGCAAGTGTTGTAGGTGCTGACTCGGAAGACATCCAAAACAGCGTCTTCAGTTGGGTAATTATGTGGCACAGCATCTTGGTGTCTTTGGCTAGGCGCAGTGTCTCCTCCTCCAGGTACATTATCTTCTGAATGTCTTCTGCAGTGTCTCTCGTGTGTCTCCTATAGAGGTGAGTGGTCGACTTTTTCCATTTAAATAGCATTGTCTCTCCGGTGACACTGGTGAAGCCTGGATCCCATCCGGCAATGGGAGCCACCAGCCCCGACACCTTGTACAGTGTCATAGAGGTAGGATCAATGCAGTAGGAGGGGGTACATAGTGCATTGTCAACTATCTTAGATGATCTACTTCTGTCCTCAAGCTGGTGAAGGGAGGATTTGTGTATGAAAAGAAGCCCTGAGTCTGTCTTGCAGGTGTCTGTCAGTCGAGTGAGCTGGCTCTGGCCCCTTCTACAAAAAAGCCTCCCTGACTATTCTCCATCGTACCTGAGGAGATTTTGCACACCTTCTTGTTGACGGAGACAAATGTTGGCCATGCCCACTCACACAGCTTCAATAGGTCCTGGAGGTTTGTGTATTGGATGTAGCCTTCTGGGCAGACTGGATCAGGCATATCTCTAAGATCTGCGTTGTCTGGCATGAAATTGTGAGTCATGCTATAGGACCTTTATACGAAATAGTGAGTGGTGCATTGGAACTCTTGAAGCAGTATTGTCCACCCTTTCACTCTAATAGAGGTGACTTGATTAGTTGTGATATTAAGTTTAGCTGGAGCACCGCCAGTTTCATCACAGTGGCTGGGTTCATCTAGCCAAAAGAATGCGGGTTCTCTCGTTCTGTCGCAAAGAAGAGCGGTTTGACATGATCCCACCCAAGCCAGGCCCATCAGTAGGCAGAGCATCATTGTATCCTGGGTGTTTTTTGGTCAAGTTTTTGGTCGTTCTATAATTGATGTCATCATCGCCATCATCTTATTCTGGTTCTCTTTAACCTCTAATAATAAAAGAGTAGACTATGGATATGTCGAGACCTCGAAAAAATCACTAAGTATACCTGAAGGTTTATTATAAATGTTCATACACCAAATTGATATAGTCCCTGACTTCCGAACTCTAATACGTCTCGGAATCTATGTCCGATTTACCCGGAGCTCTGAATCTAGCTGCTCATCAAAAATGAAAATAAAATTAACATGGAAAGAAACAGTACAATTGCCGACTAAAGTCATATGAAGGAAAAGTACCGTGATTTTAAATGAAAGCTTATTAAAATTTTACTGCCTTGTAAAAAGTTATATAACAATACTTAAGTTGGTCTCGGATATTTTATTTCACTGATATGGTACCATATTTTTCGAATATCGACAGAATTGCGCAATTGAGATCTTCTTTTTAAAATCTCTACCTTTTTGAAGGGTGTCATTTCATCGTATTTTTCATTATATAGGTAGGAACCATATTCATCTACGCGCATTCATTTAATACCATCCCTAAAACTTACTTTGTCATTGTATACATCTCTTTTTCTGTTTATTTCAATTAAATTAAGTTTTTCCTGTAATTCATCAATTTTTCTGAAATGTGCGTTCATGTCGATGACTGTGTTATTACTAGAAGCTTGGCATATAATACTCTTGTATTGTTCAGAATTGTAAACTATCGTGTTTCCTAAGGACTTTTTCTATCCTCCCAAAATCATGATCCGAATCTAAATGAGAATGGTCAACCTCATGCAACTTGTGGACTACTACTTTAAAATATCCTTTTAATATAAAGTTTTGATACAGTGCAATGAAGTTAAAGTTTTTGTCTGTCCGGCACATGAATCCGACCAGATTAATAAATGATCTTTGTTTTGACAACTTGGATCGACTTCCAAAAATCTTAGAAGTTCGCTTCCAACTTCAATACTTCTGCGATCCGCTACAGCTTCAGTCCACATACTACAAACGTCTTTCTCCTAACCTCCATAATTAACGTGAATACTTAGATTGTGAAACCACAATTGACGTTAGTTAAATGTTTTTGAAGTTGTTAGTTTCGGTAACGGCATTATTTGTTGTAAATCCATTGTAATGTACACAATATCTCGGCACTGGTTTGATTTTTGCCTGTCAATTTGCATAGCTTCAACAGCTGCATGATAATTTAACATGAGTCTCCAGCATCGCAAGTGGCACACGTGTCACTCCTTGGGTAACCAAAAGACAAATTAAATTCTGTGCCAAAACATTTGGTGTACGAGCTTTTCTTAATGCGATATTTATCTGACAAGTCCTCATTTTGACACATTTCCAAATACAAACCATGCATTTTGGTAACATTGAGCAGCGGTATAAGATAGAGTTTGTACATATTTTTATTTCTTAAGCAATGAGACTCTTCCGCTGGAAAGCTCGAAATATGTGCCTTAATGCATTGTACAACATCATTGTCCATTTTGTGTGGACGACTTTGATATCGTCCTCTCCGATCTGGTTTATGAACTGAAAGTCCATCTTTAGTATTCTTTATAATGAGATCAATTTTTTTGTGACCCATCTGGTATATAATATTCTACACAAATCTAACTTGCATATTTCTTGTGTGATTTTTTTGCGTAATGCTTTTAACAAGCAGATTTATGCTTTCTATTTCTAGCGGTACTGCGTTGTCTTGCTATAGGCTTCCTTACAATGCTGCTGAACAATAAGGCATTTTTACTATTAGAATCAAATGAATAATAGCTGTTTAAAATAGATTGCCTATCTTCAAGTGAGAACTTACTAAAGCATTTAAGTCTGCACTTCTTGTGGCATAAAATCCTTTCCTGGGTGGTTTTCTTTGGAACTGTCACTCCTTGATAAGAAATATATTCTTCTCCCTTTGCTCTAGCTGCAGACTTTTTCTTCCCCGACAGTTTATTTGGGAGTGTTTTTTGACTTATTTTCTTTGGGTGGGAATATCTTACGTTTTCTTGAATTATTATTTTCTTCCAAATCTTAACTTTCGTGTTGGTTCCTAGTAGGGATAAGGTCATTTGTTCCAATTTTATCGCAAAAAATATGCACGACATTTAGTATGGCCACCAAAGCCATGAAGGTGACTAATCATAATATCTTCAAATAAAAATTGTACATCTGAATTTATTTTGTGTCTTTTTATAGCTTTATAAATTGCTGCTCTTGTTTTTAAAATAGCTAACTTGGTCATATACATTTTCTATATTTAATATTATATCTATTATCCGTGCTCAGTGCTTGTAACTTGTTACAAATTACGAAGCACATGATTGCGGCATTCGATTTTTTCGACGGGTTTATCGGGGAGCTTCTAAAATTTTTGCATATGTACTGGAGTCACCATCAGAAAAAAGTTTACCGTAAATTGGGGAATACATGTTTACGGATTCTTTGAAGCCTTCTACTATAATCTCACTTTCCATATTTGAGAATGGGCCGTCATAATTTTTAAAACAATGATGAACTGCTGGTTCCTTATTTGGTTCCGCGTGAACATAAATGTAGAAATATTTATTTTTTACACTTAAAAATAATATTTTTTCGGTCCAATATGGCTGCTGCTCCCGATAGAGCATTACAATTTTTTTTTATAGCTTCGTTTGCTCCAGCAGCCATCTGCAATTATTTCAATAAGAGCTAAGCCATCTCTATTTACTTTGTTACTGGCAAGTGCGAATTCTCTTTCTCTTTCTGCAGCATGCTTTATCTAAATCTAATCTAATTCCGAAAATAATTGGCCGACGTAAATTTTTCTTCTTCATATTGTAATGCAATAATTATTTCTTTGTAATTAATTTCCCCTTTTTTAAATAAAATTATATATATATATATCCTCTCAGCAGTCCGGGCCAAAATAGCCGCTTTGGCGCATCTGTCAAACCCTAAACGAGTGTTATATTGCCTACGTGGCGCGTGTCATTAAAATGGCAATATCTTAATATTTATGTATGGGAACTATATAATATGATATGTTGTTAGAATTATTGTTAAATAAGCTAATAGAATATGTGTAAATGTGTACGTTCACCCTTTTGGTATGTTATAAATTTGGTGGTAAAATTGCTAGAAGCGATTTTTTTCTAGTTTGTTGAATATAAAATGTAATCATTAAAAAATTAAGCAATTATTTCAATAAATATTTACTTCATTTACTATACGATAACACACTTTACAATAATGAATAAAAAAAACACAACTATACGTACAGTTTTTTCACACCACAAGCTCTACAATAATGTGGGCCACTTAAGATAACCCGAAACAGGCACAAAAAAAGGCACATTTTGTACTTCCAAATCGACGACACCTGAGGCACAATGGGCTATAAATCTTAACTTATGCTATAGTTTGGTCTTTGTTCTTAATATAAACAGTTTCAAATATTACAACTATTCAGTTATTAAGAAATGAACGAGTTGTAACAAACACTTGAAAAAGTGACCCTAAAAAAAATGCTTTCAAACTTTTGCATTTGTAACGAACAATTTTGTAATTTATTTACATGTGAATGTACATTCCTAAATATAATAACATTTCCTAAGTTAAAAACAAAACAAATAAGGCATCTTTTATACAAAATTATGTTAGAAATCATCAACTAAAAGTTACACATTCACTACAAAAAGCACCAAGTATGACGTGGTACCCAGCTATGCTAGTATGGATACTTTCTGTGGTGACTTCTTTAATAATTGTAATCATGAACATAAAATTAAAATGAAATACAAATTAGTTATTTTTCTTTGCTTTTTATATTTTTAATTAACATTTGAATGTTATTATAAAAAATGTTTGACAATTCTTTTTTGCCAAAATAAAGATTTATATTTTTGTTATTTAGATTTTTTTAATTTTACTTAATTTGAAGTGACCCTAGCCTAGTGATAGCTTGCGTGCGAGATCCATAATAAAGTTTAAGCAATGCACGCGTTAGCTTGCAACTGGATGGGTGACCGTTTCGTACTTTGAGGCTATTCCAACTATAGCACCGCAGCGAGCTAAGGATTATTGCTTAGCAATAAAAACTACTACGTACAAAAAGCAATCTCTTCCAGATAACCTTGGGCTAAGAGTGAAAACAAAGAGTGTTTCACTTGTCAATCAAGTGAAAAAAAATATAATGACATGCACACACAAAAAGTAAAACAATTTATTGACAAAAAAATAAAACGAAACAAATAAAAATCCACACCAAAAATTATCGTAAAAATATACCAACACTGGCATTCCCAAAATCGTATCCATACTATACAACCTGCTCTCTAAGATGGCGGATTTCATGTG